TAGATAAAGTTGCTTACTTTTTTTGCTTTTATCAAGGCTTTCTTATGTTGAGGCAGTTCACCAAGCTTCTGAAGCATCAATTCGAGACAATGGACAGGACACGGAGTCCAATACAAATGCTTTTGCTTTTCCATCAACTTTTTTCCAGCTGTTTTGTAGTTTGATGCATTGTCTGTCACAACTTGAACTACAAGATTCTCTCCAATTTCAACTACTACATCATCCAAAAGTTGAAAAAACATGTTTGCATCACTCACAGTGTCTAAAGCGTCAATAGATTTCAAAAATACTGTTCCACTGGGTGAGTTTACAAGAAAATTAATAAAACTTCTTACCCTCATATCCTTCCAACCATAAGATAAGATTGACACTCCAGTGTTTATCCATGTCTTGCGTGTGTCATTCACATATTACGCGTAGTTTTCATCTCCTCTCTCAAAATCCATGAACTCAATTCATGCATACTTGGTGGTTTCAAACCTCGACCATAAAAACCAATGAATCGACACATATTTACAAAAGAAAGACTTCTAGCCACGTTAAATGAAATACCATTTTCAGAAAGATACCTCCTAATATCCATACAAACAGAATTGCGAGCCTCTTTCACATTTATAGGAGTGTGACTTGATTTTGAACCTTACTTCCACCATCGGCATCAACATCACCAACATTAGTCACCATGAATCAATCCATTGGTCCTCGAATTCCTCTTGAAGAAATATCCCAGCTACTTGAAGTTACACCACGATAATATGAACCATCTTCAACCATTTCTTCAAATTCCTTCAGACTAGTCATCTTGGTCATTTCTCCATTTTCGAGATAATCTTGAATCTCTTGTTTAACCTCGTTAGGAACTTTATTACCTGGTGCAACATTTGTACGTGTTCCTCCCAGATGACCGTTCATTCTTTTAACACCAACTTTTATAATTTTGTTACAAAAATTACATTTCAGATAAACATAACATTTTTCTATTGCACCTCAGTACCATACTTCCATGCTGGATCTTTTCTAGCCCATTTTAATTGTTTTTTTTTAACATTTCCATCCATCTCTATAGAAATAACAAGAACAAGGAAAGAATTAGGGAAATCCAACAAAAAAAAAAGAAAAACATAATAAAAAAAACCAAAAAGGAAAGGAAATAAACAAAAGAAAAAAATTGAAAAAGAAGGGAAATCGACAGTAAGTAAAGTAACAAATAAACAAAATAAAACAAAAGTGAATACATAGATAAAGGAGAGAAAAACAGAATTGAAAATTTTAATTTGAAAATAAATTGAAAAATAAAATGATAGTAAAGTAGGACTAATAAATCAGAGAACTTAAATAATAAAAAATAAAAAAATAAAAAAATAAAACAGATGAATAGGATATATAACAGAAAGAAAAATAAGAAAAAACAAAGAAGAAGAAAAACAAATTTGAAAGTTTGAAACCAATAACCCAATCAAATAAAATATTAAAAAAAGAAAAAAAACAGAAAGTTGAACATGGAGATAAAAAGAGAAAAAGAAAGGAATAAAAAGTCGTACTTTTCTGCTAGCAGTAGAGCACCACCACCGCTTGACTATTCTTTAGTTGGATTACTTTTCTGCTGAATGCTAGCTTTGGTTGGACTTTATTTGTTTTTCGTTCCAATTCCTTTCCAAATCTTCGGCGGATTTTCATTTTCCAAAATGATAATAATAATATTTTATTAAAATAATTCTAGATATTTGAGATCTCCCAGACAAATAATTAGTTGCCTTTTCAATATTTAGTCCTTTACAGTTATCGAGAATGACCCATCACCATAAAGCCAATACAAAATAAAAGGCTTACGCCTAAGCCTTTAAGGCGTACAAACAGAGGCTTATGCCTCTACCATCAAAGGAGTACGCCTCTTTTTGTTTGTATAAGGCATAGATACTAAGGCTTTTTTCTCCGCCTCGCCTCAAGGCGTGCCTCAAGACGCACACCTCGTCCGCTTTTTAAAACATTGGAGAGAAGTTGCTTCTGTCAAATCATTTCCTCATAAACATTTGCTGTGAGAATTATATCATCAACATTTACTATTAATACAATGATCTTACTTGGTGAGAAATGCTTGATGAATAGGATATGATCGGATTGACACTAAGTATAGTTATCTTGCTTCAACACAGTTCTAAACTTTTCAAAACCAAGACCGAGGTGACTGTTTTAGTCTATAGAGAGACTTCTTGAGTTTACATACCTTTCCTCTAGTATACCTATTCTCAAATCTAGGAGGTATGTCCATGTACACTTCCTATACTGAATCGCCATTTAGAAATGCATTCTTTACATGTAGTTGAAACAAGAGCTAATCTAGAGAAAATTACCCGAATAGTATTCAGCTTGGTAACTAGAGTAAACGTTTCTTGATAGTCAATCCCATAAGCTTGGGTGAATCCTTCAGCCACAAGGCGAGCTTTGAATCACTCTATACTACCATCTGATTTGTGTTTGGTCGAAAAAATTCATTTACAACAAACTGTGCGTTTACTTGGGGGTAAGTTTGTAAGGATCTAAGTCCCATTTTTCTCCGGAGTCTATATCTTTTCTAGGGTAGCAGCTTTCCATTCAGGTCTCTACAGAGCTTCTTGAACCGAGTTGGGAGTTTGTATCTGATCAAGTGATGTTACAAATGCTTTGAAACATGGCGATAGATTAGTGTAAGATAAGTGATACTATATGGGATGTTGAGTATATGAGCGAATACCTTTCCTTACAGCAATGGGCCTATCATCTTCTAACATCTCATGTGCTA